CATAATCAGAAACTCCACACCCTAGCTACATGATTGTCTGTCGTTCCACAGTTAAAACTCAAATAATTATGTCAACCAATCTTAGTACAGAAGTGAATGAGCAGCGTCCACTCCCACTGCATGTGCAAAATGGGAAAAGATCAGTCGACTCTCTCCACATGAGAAGTCATATCTGATACCTATTTAAACCATGGAAATACTCCCACGATGATTACACATTTTTATTTTAGATCAAATATATTTAACGCTATGTAATACAAGGGAATACTTAAAATAAATACCCCTGCCGCAGCAAACCTGCAGACTAAGCAAATTTCAACTTGTCTGATTACATTTTTATTAAAATATTTCCATAAATAAGATAGATTTTTATTCCCAATTTAAATGACATTAGATTTAACAAGTGCTTAGGTTTGCTGCTATAGGGGGGGTAAAAAGTGTTTTGGACCAAACTTTAATAGCATAGTATGAAATAAATAAATTATATTAATTTTACCAACATATATCCAAAACAAGTAAACTACAACAGTTTTAATTTTGTCCATAAGAATAATATGGAAATTTTAAACTAAATTTTTTTAATTTCTCTGTAACCTTTAGGCATACAACAGAGCTTCAATATACTAAATTATTCTTTTTTTAAGCTCTACAAAACGGTTTGGAAAGAAATTGCAATATTTTATGTTTTTAGTGTTAAAAATGGGAAAAACCAATTTTTACCCATGAAACCCCGTTCCCATAGTGTGATCATGCTGGTTTTTCGAAATCGTTCAATAAACGTAGGTTTAACAATTCTACTAAATTTCATCAAAATCGGATAATTTTTAATAAACATGTACCTATATATGAATTTGAACAGAGGGTGTTTTTGGCCTCTGGAGACCTCAAAACAAAAAAGGAAATCGGGTCCAGGTCTTACCTTCTTACTTTCTCATATTGGAAATTTGCTAAAAAGACTCCCGATTTATAATTATGTGTACGGTATGGAAGTGGTGAAGTGATCACAATCATAAAACTCTTTTACCCTCAACTGCTTTTGGATAAATATGTTTAATACGTTAGTACCGTTTAATACCTAGTAGCCTATGGGAAATTCGCTAAAACCAAACATAGAGCTGATTATTGTAAATAGTTTAACGACTTTATGAATAGGCTAAAAAAAGCATGTCACAGTGTTTTTTAAACTGCGACAATGTGAAAATTTAAACCTACATGGTAACCAAAACCAAAACTGAGGTAATTTTTAAATAATTGTAGCCTAAGGCCAGGCGCACACAGGCGATTTTGAGTCACGCAACAGTTGCCCGACTAATCGGGGGACTGTTGCGCAACCCACTCGGAGACTCTGAAGTCTAGCAACAGTTGAGCTGGAGTGCGCACACAGGCAACTTTTTAGTCGTGAATCTAAAATCTTTAAGACGCAAGTTAGACATTACATTCGTTAACAGCGTTAACAGTACCGAATGGATTTCAATGATACAGCCGTAGTATGTGCTTTGTTGTTGAAGTTGTGATTTTTGATTTTATCCTCTTGTGTTAGGTTGTTCTAATCTTTAGTAACTGCCAAGGACACTTCATCCCACAACTACTTCTTCAAATTAATATCCAAACAGTCTTTCAATGACTTTAAATATAAAGGCGGCCTCTTGTCAACTTAATCAATTAATTGTTTGACATCCTCATCAGGGAACTCGTATTTAAGTAATTTTATAAAAACTTCACACAACAAAAAGAAAGCAAACACTAGTGACAGATCTGGCCACGAGTAGTTGAATTCCTCGGGTGAGACTAAGCGACACAGCGACAATTTGTTGCATGTGTGCGCATCTACACTTGGTTCAATGGATACCAAACCTGGAGCGACAGTCCCGCAACAATTGAGTCTCAGAGCAGTCGCTGGCAAATTGGGTCTGGGAACATCGGTTGCAACAGTTGCGCGACTGTCCCTAGACTGTTTCCTTGGTGTGCGCACTCCAATTTAAAACAATGTTGAACATTTTAGTCGGGCAACTGTTGCGCGACTCAAAATCGCCTGTGTGCGCCTGGCCTAAGTTACACATTTAATTTCTATGGTCATCATATAATTCCAAAAAGCAATCGTTTTAAGTTTTGACTATTCTGTCATTCGCTACTATTACTCGATTGCTTCAACATTTCCTACTATTCACCCAGTTTTTCTTTAAAAGAATTACTACAGTTCTTACAGCTGTAATTAACCATCATGTTTATTGTTTGCTCTTGGATAAGCCTACTATCTATTTGATAATTGATTTTGCTACAGAGTTCTGGATTTTGCAAAGAATACGTGGAAAAAACAAGGTCAGCATCAACAAAATGAGCAGCAATATCATGCCCGGCACAATACTTTAGCTATAAATATAAAACAAGACAAGGAACATTATAGCCTGGAAAATGTAGGAGGTCTTCTGATGGTAAAATAAAATAATTAGTATTTACTTATATACAATAAAAGAAGGAAATTAAGTTACCAGACAAAAGAGTAGCCTAAAATTTATATTTAAACTAGTAGATCTACGCACCCTAGTGATAAAGCTCGGCCTTTTTATTATAGGCCTACCTAAAAAGCAAAAATTACCTGTAGTGAAAAATCAACAATGTTAGGCCCAAAGCTAAATTCATTTAGACCCTTGTCTTACAGTATTTTTATGAGGAGAAACAATGTTGATTTTTTAACTCCTGAGTAAGGGAATAAGGAATAGGTAGATACTAGGGACTTTCTAGTAAAATGTAGCCTATGCAGAGACAACAATAAGTTACGAAGGAAATATTTCTGGTTTGGAAAACACACTACGGGTGCAGTTTCTTAACTGGGCTACCCTAATATCGATTTAAAATATTGATTAACAATTGATATTTCAATTATCAAACCTTCATTCAATTTTTCATAATCATATAAAGACTTATTATAAGTTAAAAGTGTTCTAAATTAACCAAACTTGTTGTAATAGTTCACAAATTGTAATTAAATTTAAACTGTTCTAAGCAAACGAATCTTTCTGTAGGCAAATATATTTACAATCGGTTTTATAATGGAAAAAGCATTAGGTGAAGGGAGGTCGGGCCTTATGCAGATTTGTGACTGTATAAGTTCTTTGATGGTAGGTTGGATTAGCCTAAGTAAGTTAAAATAAGATAGTTTCAAAAATGCATCATTTTTTACATCGTAACCTCGTTCTTTAACCCAATGTTCCAATGGTAATAATAATAATAATTTGTTTATCGTAGGCGACAAAATACAGTACATTGTATTACAAACATCAGATAGCATAATATTTGTGAAAAAAAACAATACAAGTTATTATTTACATTTTGTCAGGTTTTTTTTACACCAGTACCTTTATTCCGCGGTATTTCCTACAATTTAGATATCTCAGTGTTCATGAAATCTTCAACAGAGTACAGCACATTGGACACCAAAAGTCGTTTTAGCCGAGTTTTGAATTGTTTTTTTATTTTATTTCGGCATGTTTGATGCTGGCAGGAAGTTTGTTGAGGATTGTGATACCAATCTGCGATGGCAAAGACTCAAACACCACACTTCTATGCTGCAGAGTCCGGTAATCATCCCTGCCCCTAGTCTCATAATCATGGACGTCTCGGCCCTGCACTAGTGGCCATTTATACTTACAGTACATGGCCACATCCAAGATGTAGAGACAGGGTACAGTGAGCAATCCCAACACCCTGAAAGCATTTTTACATGAGTCTCTCCTCAACAATTTGAAGATTATCCTCACTGCCTTCTTCTGCAGTTTGAAAACTCGTTTGATGCTGAAGATAGCACAGCTTCCCCGCAGTCTTATTCCATAAGAAATGTGAGGGTAGATGAGACCAAAATATGCCATTAAGAGCACTTCATTTGTGCAGAATTTTGCATGGTTACGTAAAACAAAAATTCCAGATGTAACCTTGGCACAAATGTGATAAACTTGATCTCCCCAGGTTAGGCACTTTCAAAAATTTAATGGAATTTGCAACCACTAACATACATCATCCGCCATAACCACAGGCTGAATATTTGCTCCCTGTTGCCGTAAACAAAATAAGACTACTCTGGATTTGGAATGTTTTGTTTTTAGATTCATCTCAGGAAATGTTTGAATACACGAATTCAAATCGACAAACAACATTTAACCTCTGTTGGTGATAAAACAATATGCATGTGGCTATCTACCATAAATAAACAACCCGGTTAACAATAACCTAAACTTAACTAAATCTAACCTAGGCCCTAACTTCAAAACATGAATCCGCACAACCCTGACTTCCCTTCCACACATAGGTAGGCCTACGCAAATAAGGTCAGTTCGGATGCAACATTAATCAACAACCCTGTTAGAGTGGTATGTGTATTAGGCTATTCTTTGTCTTCCTGTCTCTGTTCCACATCAGCAGCCATTACCAGAAACAAATAGTAACGCTTCAACAAATTAAGCGCACAGCAGTGAAACAACAAAAGTTTAGGTTAGTATTCTAGATATCCATAAATTGGGATTATCCCGTAGGCCTAGGCCTATTCCGTAAGAATTATGAAGAAATCTTGAATGAAGATTTAATAATCAATATTTTTTATGTACCGTAAGTTGAGTTATATTAGGGTAGCTCAGTTAAGATTGCAGATTGCACTCCCATAGGCTATAACCATTCCAAAAGAAAGTACCCTAATGTTATTATTACTAGAAAAACTTCATAGTTCACTTAATTGGCAAGAATAATATAAAATTCAATAAATTGTGAGTCCCAATAAAGTGTGTTGTCCTAGGTCTAACCTTAGACAAGTTAGTCTGGATTGGTTTTAGTTCCGCACTTGTTGATTATTCTCGTTAGTGTTTTATCGTACAAGGAAAATAGAGCATATTAGCCTATTGTGCAAACCGTCCAAAATAAATAAATGGAGTTATTCAGTTGTCGAAAGTAAAACATACAAACCAGATGAGTTTGAAATTAGGGTAACAGAATAATAAAACTTGTCTACTTACAACAGAAACGTGAAAATGACGGAAATACGAGTCTGCGTCGAGTAGTCGTGCACTTCAAATGTGTAAAACAATCCAAATTGTAATGGATTTAGGAAACAAATACCACTCAACGAAGTGTACACTGCGATGGATAACAAATGTTCGAAAAAACGCACAATATATTACTCATATTAACAATATTCCTAATCAACCCAAGAAAGATGTAAACGACTGACGTCTTCTTTAAGCAGACAGACAGATCTTCTTGATGTCTTCTGCTTCTCTCCATTCTGTTCTTCTATTGCCATCTAAACATAGAGGAAAAAGGAATCCATACTTCTAAAAGAACTACTTCATTACAAAGAGAATCAGTGTGGTTTTTGTGTATAATAAATTAATTTTATAAAATCAATGACTTTATTATTTAGTAAGCTTCGAGTAGATTGTAAAACTTAAGCGTGTTTTGTCGTGGGCTAAATATCCTGCAAGTCGCGGATTAAATAGTTCAGTATTATTGTTACTATGTATTATGTTGAGAGTGAATTTCAAACTTTGGCTATCATAAGCACTTTATGAAATAAAATGAAAATGCTAGAAGACAAGCGAGAATAAATAGAATATAATTTTTATTAAAATAATAGTGTTTGCCTAACCAGAAACAGTATGCCACTCTATTTTGCCACTCCATTATTGCATATTACCATGTTAAATTAATCTGTTGCCAAAATCAATTCTTGCATTTGCATAAGTAAGGACCTAGTAGTTAAACTTTCACCTCTTTGTTCTTGTTGATTCTCGTTATGTTTGTTATTGCTATCTTGTATAATGCTATTTTTCCCAATCATTTTGTTATTGTTATTATATTGTCATGCAAAACAGTGCAATCTGCCAATGTATATTATTGTAATAATGGTGTTTCCGTATGAAATAAATAAATCAGTATGCCAAAACAAGACACACTCAGTATATCGGACCAGGGGTGTGCAGTGTGCAGAGGGGGGTATAGCAGAACATTTGCGTCACTGGGATTTTTGGAGGAGGATTCTATATTTTACGTATTTTACGTATACCTATTGCCATTATTATTTTATAAAATTGTTTAAGTGGCCCTAAATTATTTTTTGTTAAATTTGGAATCCCTACCACCACTTGTCACTCAATGTAGGCTATTTATTTATTTATTTATTTACAGACGGAAAACTCCATTTTCATATACATTCAATGATGGCAAGACGTTACATTCAGACTTACATAACATGAAGATGACCTGACTAAAAACCCTAATAAATAAGAATGTATCAAAAATATATCAATATATAACAATAAATAACAACAATAATTAACAATCAACATGGGGAACAACAAATTTGGTAATTAGCTAACAAAGATAAAGAATAAAAAATCAAGTAACAGTAAATAAATCACTTAAACAACAACTACATTGATAAAGAAACAAAAAAAGCAAGTAAACAGTATAATGATCTCAAACAGCAGCTAAGCGTAGAATTTCTTCAGCCCATTTCTAAAGACTTCATCGGACATGGATAAGAAGTCCAGGTAGTCTGGAAGACAGTTTCCAAGGCGATGGAGACGTGGCATAGTGCTGTGGTACGGTACGCATATTGTGTAGAGCAATATCTCCTCTCAAACAGTTGTTTAGATCTTGTCGATTTCAAAGCTCGAAGGTCGATTCTTCCCAACAATTCAGGTGAGTCCACTGAAGCTGAGATTATCTTCTTCAGAAACATTAGATCGGAGACTTTACGCCTGACTGACAAGGGTTGAAGACGAAGGAGGTGGCTTAGCTCGTCCAAGGGTACATCTTCATAACGAAAGCCCAGCTGCAGTCCAACAATTCGAATGAATCGTCTTTGAACTCCCTCAAGACGTTCTATGTGGCCCAGCTGATACGGTGACCACACTGGAGAACAGTACTCAAGGATAGGGCGGATAAGTTGAACGTAAAGAGTCCATAGTGCTTCTGGCGAAAACCGTCCTTAGACACTCTAATAATAAAACCAAGAACAGAGTTTGCTCTTCTACTAATGGCATCAAGGTGAGCATCGGGACTTAGTGACGATGTTAAAGTCACACCAAGGTCTTTAACAACAGATGATCTGGAAAGGGATTTTCCTCCAAGAGTATAACCATGCATCATGGTAATTGCCCGTCGTGAGAAGGAGAGCACTGTGCATTTGGAGATGTTAAGCTCCATTTCATTCTTGAGGCACCACAATAATACTTGGTCAAGGTCGGCTTGAAGCATATCACAATCATACTCCGACGAAATTTCGTTGTATATTTTAGCGTCATCTGCGAAGAGTAATATTTTACAATTTGTGACTACTGATACCAGGTCATTTAGGTCATAACGAGCCCTGGGGGACTCCAGAAAGAACAGGAAACACGGTGGATGTACATCCATTGTATCTGACAACCTGGTGACGACTACTGACATAGCTTCTGAACCAACTTAGCATGGCACCAGTAACACCCAAAACGCTGAGCTTAGCCAGTAGATGATGTTCATGACTCAATCTATCAAAAGCCTTCGACATGTCCAGGTAAATGCTGTCTACTTGATGACTTCTGTTGAAGGCTGATATTATATCATCTTGATAGATAACAAGGTTGGATGCAGCTGATCTACCGCTATAGAAACCATGCTGGGCTGTTGATAAGTGGATCTTAATAAAAAAATGTAATCTAATGAGGACCAGGGATTCAAAAACTTTGGCGAGCGATGATTGTATGGAGATTGGTCTGTAGTTTTTTTATGTCTGAAGAATTACCATTCTTGAAGATAGGGGTAACAAAACTTGTCTTCAGGCAGTGGGGAAAGATACCCAAGTGCAAAAACCAGTTGATGTATACTGTCAAGTGAGCGGCAAGAAATCCAGCTACAGTACTTTAATATTAATGGTGGAATATCGTCAGGACCAGCTCCCTTACTACCATCTAAGGTGGAAAGAACCTTTTCGACTTCATTGCAAGAAACAGAAAATTCAGTGAAGGAACCAGAAGACAACTGTTCTTCGAAGAAAGGATCTCTTTCAGATGGTTTGAAAACTGAAGAAAAGTGCTCAGCAAAGAGCTCACAGATGTCTTGTGGGATAGTTGCAGTTGTTTCATCAAGGCTCGTCGTATTATTGGTTTTGGCAGAGTTCTTCGTGTTATTGATATGAGCCCAGAAAGCTTTAACATACTGCATGGAGTCTTCAACCTTGCTAATGTACTGTTGGTAACGACGTGAGGTGAGTTCCTTGCACTGTGCCCTCACACGACAAAAATCATGGTAATAACGTAGGTTTGAATTAGCCTTATACTGACGATGGAGCTTCTTCTTCAATATAACCAGCTTCTTTAGATCATAAGTGAACCAACATGGGAAGGAAGATCTTCTAATGCATTTAATTGGTGTATGATACTTGATTAGGGTACTAAAATTGGTACAAATGTCCGAGAAAGACGATTCTATATTATCAGGACTACATAGGGAGGGATACGGCCAGGACTGTAAGTCATCAAAAATTGCTTCTTTATTACTATTGATGAAGCCATATTTGTAAACTTCACTATTTACTTTGCAAAGACCAGAGCATGTTACTTCGATGTCCAATACAGGGTGATGAGATTCGGATGGTACCAATGGGTCTAGGACCAAATCGACAGACACCTCGTTGAGAGAGGAAAACACCAGGTCAAGCAAAACACTTCGCTCGTTCAAAATCGTCTTACACTGTTGCAACTGGAAGAGATTTACAAGATTCAAAACAGAACGAGAAGATGAATCGTGTGACGTTTCGGTGAAGCATGACCAATCTCTATTTGGCAGATTAAAATCCCCAACTATAAAAACTGGTCCAGGTGAGTTGAGGGAAAATATAATTTCTTTACAAAGAGAGCTAAATTCGATATACTTGTCTTGAGGCTTGTTATGGGTGGAAGATAGACAGCACAGAGGATCAATGTACAATTTCTTAACTTGATCCGCGTGAAGACACATTCAACGGAGCTATTCATGACTGACATTTGTTCGTCTCAACATCTCAAAAGTATATGTAGCTGGATAGCTCAGTGGTTTGGTAATAGTTCTTGCCTCAAAAGGTTGCCGGTTCGATCCTGAGAAAAGTGTGAAGCTTTTTGATGGTTCGAAACTTGACCCAGCGGTCCTTCATCCTAAAGTAGGCTTTCAATAAATGGTCCTGTCAATTAGCTGGTCTTAACTCAGTAACAAAGCTACACTAGGCATCACACTCCATTCTATAAAATACACTCACCCTTCACTCATATTTGGGTTAAAATCGCTCATAGGTGGCGCCCCCACCTCAAATGAATATGATTATGAAGAACTACGAGTTCTTCGCAATCACGAGAGATGCTGCTCTTAATTTCACCGCAATCGCGGGTTACAATTATAAATGTCTTCGTGACCGTATGGAATTGTCAAGATGGGTAACTGTCAAAAGATAACACGGCAATAACGGGAGGCAATAATGATGTCTTTGTGACTGCGGGTGAATAATTTTTTCGCGATCACGGGAGGCCACGAGTCCTTGATGATGTATTCGTGGTCATGGGTTATTATTTTGCTTATTGGGTGGACCGATGTTTCTAAGTGTTTAAAGTGGTACAGTAGCTAAAACTGCCAGCCTGAGTATTGATTGTGAGTGGGTTAGTGGGTAAACCAGTTACTAATGGGAGTATGGTCTCAATTTCGCCACGATCGCGGGAGATGGTCAAAACAAAAACTTCGCCACGTTAGCGGGAGATGGTCTTGATAGGGCTGCGATCATGGATTACTGTCATGGTGATATTATGATGCGGGCGCATAGAAGTAGTCTCAGAGAGGACGTAGTGAGAAAAATAGTTCCATTTTTCTAGCCCCATAGTGGCTATCTGGTTTTGAGTTTTCCGTTTGTGGCTATATAAGTATTTAATCATATCTGGTTTGAGTGTGAACAGACCCGCACAAATTCTCTTTAATAGACATGGCCATTTCATCATTTCAAATTTACCCAAATTTCATGAATAAACATATCGCATTCACAGTTAGCTGTGTTTTTCCTAATTTTATTTTAGTTAATCCTTAACATTCTTTTTTTGTGTGTAAAGGGAGCAAGTGGCTAAGTTAGGGGGGGGGGTTGAAAGGGACAGTGTGAAATGGGGGGGGGGCTTTGTGCTCCTGACCTTAGGGGGATGGACACCTCGGCACCTCAGTATCAGACAGAAACATACATTTGTTTCTTCAGGCCAATCGAAAA